CAGCCCCTAAGGGCATACAGGGCACACAGTCCCGTGCCATCCTTGGTTTACTTTAGGGAGCTCTGTGTCCCCCGCAGTGCCCACACAGCCCCTTCCCCCCCTCACCCGGGCCCGGCACCACCGCCCCTGACCGCCCCCCGCTGCCACAAAGCGCTTTCGCCACCGTCGCAAAACGAAGCCGCGAGCGCTTATGGAGGCAGAGGCAGCAGTGCCCTTCCTTTGCCCTCACTGTCGCAAGGGCGGCCGCGCCTGACGGCGGCTGTGTGCCGCCGGCGAATGGAAGGCGGCGAAAGATGGCGGCTCTGCATGAGGAGCCGGCAGAAGTGGCGGCGGCGCAGCCGGACCCCGAGGCGGGGACGTCGCCGCCGCCGCCCGCGGTGCCTCCCGCCGCCGTCGCCGCCGCTCCCGCCGCCGTCCCGGTCGCCGCGGCGGAGGGAGAGGCGGCGGGAGCCGGTGGGGATGCGGCACCCGCGAAGCCCGCGGCGCCCGGCCCGGCCGCTTCCCCGGCGGCGCTGGACCGGCAGACGCTTGTGGCCGTGCTGCAGTTCCTGCGGCGCAGCAACCTCCGCGAGTCCGAGGAGATCCTACGCCGCGAAGCCCGCCTGCTCGGCGATGACCTGGGTGCCACCGCCCTTAGCCCCGCCAGCGCCGGGCTCCTGGGGGGCTCCGGCAGCGACACGGACTCCGGCGAGGCGCTGCTCGGCCGGGGCACCAGCGCTGCCGCCGTCGCCATAGGAGGCAGCGTCGCCACTGTCGCGACTTCCAGCCCCGGGGTGGCCGCAGTTGCCGCCGTGCCGCCGGGGAAAGGTGAGGCCAGCGGGGACTGCGGGGTCGGTCCCTCCTGCCGGTGTGAACCCGGGAAGTGGAGAGCCCGTGTGCGCTGCTCGCAGCCTCGGGGCTCTCCGTGATGCTGGGATACAAGGGTGGGTGTCAGGTCGTGCCACCCCGGCCTTCCAGGAGGTCCGTAGATGTGTCATTTACTCATATAATCCGTGGAGAAATCTGGATCTCCTGGAGCCAGGGACCAAGGACAGGGTGTCTCTCGTATTTGCAGGGCTCTGTATTTGCTCTGTGAAGTGAGAAGTGRTCCTGCTTGTCCTTGTGTCCCATCGCAACTAGCACAGTGGCAGGAACGGGAGGTTTCCGTTATAGCTAATAGGGATTGTCCSGGGTGTGGCTGCAGGGATGAGAACAGAGATCTGATGCACAGGCTGCATTTTGGTGAAGGAGCCATGGGATATTTGTGGATGAGGCTTTCTGCATTTCTTTATCGAGTTTCTGAATACTTGAGATGTCCTTTGGGTGGTTCAATTCTAAGTGTTGTTAATCAAGGTGTTCTGTGAGGCAGCTTTACAGAAAAAGGAAATTTCAGGAACTGGTAGTCTGAGTTCCAGTGAGTATGCAGCGTAAAGTCAGTTTGTTCCTGACACCCCCAGATATGATTGCTTTTACGTGAACAACAAAACAATGGAAGTGTGTGACAACTGCTRTGTTAGAACAGAAGACAGTTAACAGTTTGTTAAGTGTCCCAGCTCTGTGATAGTTGTGCCGTGGTCTTGATGAATTGTTCACTTAAAGTATTTAACTGGCTTTTTTACTTGAAGCAAAATGGCTGTAGTGGGTATATCTTACGTTGTGCTCCTTGTTTAAGAGTTTCTAGCCCTAGCAGTAAAACAACTCATTCTGGCGATGTTAGTGGCTTCTTCCTTTACACTTAAAATCCTGGCTGAATTAGGCACTAAGTGCCTACCTTACAGGCAGCTGGTGGGCAGAGAAAGTCCAAAAATTGCTGGAGGTGCTGGAGATGCTGGGAAAATTGGCTGCTGCACCAATGTGCTCTCACCTGTATTGTTCAGRCTTGGTGCTAAACTGACACAGGATGTGTTTGGCTCACCTGACAAGGGGGTTGTGGCCATTGTTTGTTGCTGGCTCCTCCAGACTGTCTGAGCAGCTCTTGTTGTTTGCTGATGCTTTTGCAGTTGGAGGCACCGTGGTTGTGGAGGATCAGCCGGATGTGAGCGCTGTGTTGTCGGCCTACAACCAGCAAGGGGACCCGACGTTGTACGAGGAGTACTATAGTGGATTGAAACATTTCATTGAGTGTTCCCTGGACTGTCATCGGGCAGAATTGTCTCAGCTCTTTTATCCTCTCTTTGTGCATATGTACTTGGAATTGGTCTACAATCAACATGAGAGTGAGGCAAAGTCTTTTTTTGAAAGGTAATTAATTTGCAGTTGTACATTTGCCTTATTTTGTGTTTTCAACTTTGGCTAAATCTGTGAGCTATGGTAGCATAGATTTACAAACATATATGTAGACATGTATTATTTTTCGTCTGTAAAGTGGAAGAGATTTGAAATCTGAAGTAACAGTGCCATGGGTTGCAGTAATTTTTCTTAAAATCTTTTCCAATCTCATGTTAGAAAGATGTGCAAACTACCAAACTGTCCACTGGCAGATTTTGAACCATATTAGTGGTGTGCTGATGGGYTCCTTGCTGCAAAAAAGTATCATTGGAGAGATTCTGAATATTTAGGGAAAGATTATGGGGTCATTTTTTAGCGATGGAAGCTTGCACTGAGATGCCAAAGTAATGAGTGCTGTAAGTATTTGCTGATACCATAGCATGTACATTGAAATTCTTCAAATGAGCTTAAAGAAATTAATTTATGGCTAATCTATAATTTTATGTACTCTTACTGTGTTTCGCTTGTTTATCGCTTGAGAAGAAAATTGAATTTAGTTTATTTTGTGGGTTCAGACCAATTGTGAAATTCTTCAATCCAAAAGGATAACTGTTTCCTTTCAAATGGTCAGTGAAAATGGTTCTGTAATTTGTTAAAATGTCCCTTGCCACAACTATTTTATAATAAGTTGAGTGACTAAACCTTTTATCTTAAATTGTTTCAATAGATTTCATGGGGATCAGGAATGCTATTACCAGGATGACCTGCGTGTATTGTCGAGCTTAACCAAAAAAGAGCATATGAAAGGTAATGAGACCATGCTGGATTTCCGAACAAGCAAGTTTGTGCTGCGCATTTCCCGCGACTCTTACCAACTCTTGAAGAGACATCTTCAGGAAAAGCAGAACAATCAGATCTGGAACATTGTTCAGGAGCATCTTTACATTGATATCTTTGATGGAATGCCTCGCAGTAAACAGCAGATAGATGCCATGGTTGGAAGCTTGGCTGGGGAGGCAAAACGAGAGGCTAATAAAGCAAAGGTAGGAAACAAAGGTTGTTGTATACTTTTTACAAATCTCCCTAGTTTTTCAGGCAGAAACCTTAGTATAGACTRACAGTTGTAACTTGAGATAATAAAAGACAGCACGAACAGAACAAAGGAAGAGAGCTGTACAARCAGTTGTTGACAGGAGTAGAGAGATCAAGATGTATTGCAGTCAGGTGGATGAAACTTCTGAGCCCTTTTGAGAGATGACTTTGTGTTCAGCCCACTGAACTTAACTTAAACAAACCATTAATTACTTTGGAGTTTTAAAATGGAAACCCGACTGTTTGGCTTCCTCTTCTGTACAACAGATGAATTTTTGACTTGTTATGATTTGTTGCTAGAAGAGATGTGTGTGTAGTACCACAGTACTATAAAAGTGGGGATTCCACTTCAAGGAAGGGCTAAGTGATGGTGGGGGAAGTTAACAGTTGTCCACATCAGTTGGCTAAACCAGAAGTTGGGTTAGTTGGGTAAATCAGTTGGGTAAGTCAGAAGAACATGTACTACGTTTTTTGGGCTAAGCAGTAATATATACTCAAATGTTAAACAGAGCAGCTATAAAGGGGCAGCTCTATTGCCTGGACTGCTACATTGAAAAGTTACCATTAAAAGTTTAGTTTTCAGTAAGAATAGCAATTTCTGATTTGTGTTG